GCCAAAAGTATACGGACACTGAACATTACAACTACATGTATCTGTCTCATTCTAAAACAATGGGAACTCTGCTGGGCAGGATTGTGGAATCTGGCTGCAGGGAAAGTTTCGGGAACACACAGATGTCCACATACTTTTGGACATATACAAGGGCATTCCAGAAGTTCAGAAGCCCCAAGTCTTCAGGTTCACTGTGTGACATTAAGCTTGTTTTAATTTAATTAACTGCAAATGTGTTTGTTAATACTGTATGCACCACTAAAGTACAAAATAAATACCTGAATTATTAGCTAATCTTATAGAAGGGCCCCGAGTTAAGTTCTATATTAACTCAGTGGAAGTAAGTTCTAATGATATCATTTTTATAGTAATACTGTATATTGTGCTTAAATGATGCACTTTGTTGAATAAAACAGTGCTTAATCATGTAGATATATAGAGTGGGATAAACAGGCCTCCTCACAGGGCATCTTTATTCATCACTGCTTTACATGTATGATGTGTTAATTACCTGCAGTTTGCGTGCCATGCCAACCACATCGTGGTCTGGGGGATTGTACTTGTAACAGTTGGAGAACATCAACCGGACGTCTGCTGCAAATTCTTGAGCGTCTCTGTACTGTCTGTTGTCCAGCTTTTTCTGAAGGAGACAAACAAATGCACCAGTTTTAAAACTGACCAAACATTGTTGTGTGTTTCTGAGGGAAGAAGGGGTATCTCATCGTATCTCTCGTATTTTAGGTTCTCTTTACAGGTAGCTATTTTGTTAAGTGGTTAAAACAGAAGGAAGGTAGAAAAACATGAAATCAAAAACCAGGTATTACATATTGGTAGCCACACAAGGTCCATTACATGTTGGCCATCAATCCTAATAAAATCACCTTGATGCTGCTGAGATCCATGGGGTGCTTGATGATGTCGTGGTAGTCGTGGAGGCCAAGAGCTTTTACATCAACAGGCTTGTAGAAGGGCCAGGCATATGCTACATGTTTCTTGGACAGCATCTCTCTGACTAGGCGTGCGCAGAAACGCAACTGATCCTGCCGCTTCTGCGTAACTGTCCCTCCCGTCTCCAAACCGCCTCCCAGGTGGTGCTGAGAGTCTGGCTGCAATGCGTCTTTTTTGGGTTGTTTAGATGGCCGACTGCTCTCTCGGCGCGGCCGAGTCTCAGCAGAGACAGGAGGTGATTCACTGAGCTGGTCGTTGGCTGTGGGTGTGGTGGTGTCTGCTTTCCTCTTCTGGCTCTTCCTTTGCTGTTGAAGCGTCAGAGATCAGAGGTTAGAAAATTGTTGTGAAAGCTTGTGATTAATAAGAATGGCGGCTGACTTCTCCTCACCTTGATGAGGGCAGGGGAGCTCTGCAGCATTGGTGCAGGATGGAGGCCTGGGATTGTTGGGACTGGAGGGGGAACAGAGGTCATGCCCTGGGCCAGAACGTCAGGTGTCGAGAGGGGAAATGGAGGTCCCAGATGGGGTGCGTGGGAGGTGGGTGTAGGAGGCACGCGTGGGGGCTGAGGCTGGGCCAGAGGCATGACCAGAGGTTGGGTGAGAGGTTGGGTGAGAGGCTGGGTGAGAGGCTGGGCCAGAGCCAGGATGGGAGGGCCTTGAGGGGTGGGTGCAGCACGGGTCTGTGGATTGATTGAAGGGGACGAGAAGCCTCTTGTGTGTGGGGTGGTGGAGGGGGACGATGAGTCCTGGCCTGAATCCGACTTGCTGATCAGAGCTGGAAGGAAGAATACAACACAAGGTTACAAAGATTAAATCAAGGACAAAGTGTAGTGGGCTGAAGTGAAGATACTGGTATCATATCAAACTAGATGAACTAACGCTTCCATTGGTAGCAACCAGCTTGTCAGAAAGGGGACTAGCAAGGGAAAATACATAGCAAGGGAAAAACTTTCCCGGCCAAGGGATGCCTTGGCCGCTTATCTCAAGATACTGTATCTGATATCTGAGATATCAAATCAGCGCAACAACTGTTATCAACCCAAAGATTGCTGCAACAACTTATACAAGCATGGGGCATTATATACTTCAATCCTAATGTTCTATGCCCTTATACACTCTAAATGTTCAATATTTGAATTGGTGCCTAAATAAAAAACAATGGTTATTATAGATTTATTTATTAAAATTTGACACAGTGCTTGGCTGCATTTCAAATTAATCTTCAGGATCACAGCTTTCAGATGATGTATACCACGCACATGTGGCATATACTGTACATACTGTACATACTGTACTTTCTCCACCTAAAGCTCCCCTAAAAAAAACAACAACCCAGAAATGGGTCTACTGTTAGGGAGGGGTGGAAGAGGTTTAAACCTGTTGGACGGATTATGAAATGACAACATAAGAGCTTGACATTCAACTTGTCACTGCAATGCAACTCATGAACATCCTCATTACAGTCTTTAGAGAATATCGAGAAAACACAATTACAACTTCTGTCATAATGCCAAAACTCCTGTTATTGAAAGGAGGAGGGAGGCTCTTGAGGCAGCCCAAAAAAGTACTATACTGACATTTTAAAGTCCGTATTACATTTGAAACACATACCTGGCTCCCGTCTGCTGCCTCGGCGTCCCTTACTGACCACAGCAATCTCGGTCTCTTCCTGCGGCATCTCTGTGATCTTCTGGAGAAAGTGCTTCTCCAACGCCTCCGCCATTAGAACAATATCATCCCCAGGCTAGACAAAACACATGCACATGTTGAGAAGGAATAACCTCTTTGCACCGATGCTTGCCTTGAATAGGATAATGTGTTGCTTTATCGCCTCAAATTCAGGGAAGTCACATGTAACTAGAACTTAAATGGCCAATGGCTGACCTTGTTGTAGATGTAGCAGTTTGTGAACATTGTGTTGAAGTCTTGGATACACTCCTGGGCATTCCAGTAGTAGTTGTTTTCCAGCCGTTTTTTTATCGTGCCCATGTCCATAGGGGTCTTGATTATCTTATAGTAGTCCTTAAAGGAGAAGGAGAGCAGGTAGAGAGAACTGGATAAGCATCCTTTCTGAATGACAGTAAATGAAGAATCTCTATCATCAGAGGCACCGAACCCTGGCACATTTAAGTCTGTGATATTCCAGATTTTTCTTGTTATCAACAAATCCCATAAAAACTAACAATGAATTGATTCTACTAACATGTATTGTCTGTGTTGCCAGGACCTGAGTTTATTTCTCTCTGCTATAGACCTCTATTGTTGGCAAAAAAAGAAACACACACACACACACACACACACACACAAAAAGATTAAAAACACATCAATAAACCACACCATTGCACTGGCCGACATGTTTTTTTATTGTGATGAAGACGGGCACTTTGGATTATTTAAATCTATTGCATGTGTCGTCCTGCTTCTGTAAATACTAGTGCACCAAATCTATGGACGAAAATAGCCCCCAACAAATACAGTAATTACTGTTTGAGTAATGTTTGCCAACAAACAGTGCCCAGCTGTTTTATGAAATTATATAGCCTTTCTTTGTGATTCAATTGGGGTTGGGGATGAAAGCATTGTGACAATTAAAAAGCAAAGCATTAAGAGAAAAAACATGTTTGATTTTTTGGTCTTTTCATGGGATTTGTTGACAAAAATATAAAATATCGCATGACATAACCTTTAGTAAGACAACACAGCATATGATATATATATATATGTTGAGCATATTAAGTGTATTTGGAGTGGTTTGTGCATTATTTCACTTTCACATTCCTCTTCTGAAAAGCCAAATTCTGCAGCAACGACAATCAACCCCAGGAAGAGTAGCAGTTGTTCTGCTAACAGTTAATGGGGATCCAAATAATGAAATAAGACTGAGACTTATGGCAGAGACTACAAATACTACCGTCCCCGGTGTTTTACAACCTCTACAATTTTCTCCAAAAACGTCAGAAACACGTATAAACATGTGACTCACAGGCAAATTGAGTTTGATGGCATCTACAGGAGCTTGGAAGGGCCATGCAAAGTGATGTTTCCATAATGCCTTCAACACCTCTTTAAGCAGGTACTGAAAAAGAGCAAAATCATACAAAAAAAAATCTATCAAACTTATGTCCAAACACCTGACATGGTTTACATGTATAAACACGTGAAGTGAAATCTCCAAACCTGTAGCTGGTTGGTCTGTCGTTTGGGTTTGGAGGGGTTCCATGTTTCGGGTGGCGGAGGGTTGAAGAGGAGAGGGGGCGGGGCAGAGGGGGGGTTCTGGCTGCTGCCTGCCTCCAGTCCGTCTCCCATCGTGTTGGTGGGTTGCAGTGACTGAGCAGACAGTTTAGGCAGATTGGACCTGGCAGGGGCAGGTAGGACCGGGGGGACCCCCCTCAGGCCATTACACTCCTCACTCGACTCTCTGGGAGGACAATCGACAAGAGCATCATCAACAGCGCTGCCACCACTGTTACCATTACTGTGCTTGTTAAGCCAACTCTGATTCAACTTCCTCAGGATAGGCAGCCAGTATCGTTATCACACCTCGGATCTGAAACCAACACACATTCACTGGGCCTCAATATCAAGCAGTTTCCTTCACTCTCTGTTTCACTGCCAGTCCACTGTGTCTCCAGTTGCTCTAAAACTTCAGCTTCAGTGGCATCGGTACGTGAGAGAAACAACTTGGCAAGGTAGGTGCTTTTTGAGGAAAATAATCAATCTTTGGCATCGTAGCCGCTCTGATAGGAATCAAATTTGTCTTCATTTGTTATTCTCTCCCTAGTTGTAGTTTGTCTTAAGAAAAAAGGGGGGTACATGTGCAAATAAAGAACTATGTACCCACACCAACTACAACCTGTTAAATGTCAAACTCCTAGAATTAATATTGACTCATGGCTTAAGATTGCAGCCTTTACGCCTCACCAGGTAGAGGTGGATTTAATGTAAACAGATTACATATATCTACACTTGTATGAGCCCTGTCCAGCATTTACTTAAGCGATAAGACATTAGATACACTATGTTACTTTCAAAATACAAAACCACTTAATATTCCAGTTTACAGGATGTCATATTGTATTTTATTGACTGACTCAAGTTTCAGAGCTAGTCTGAATCAGCTGATAATATTCCTAACATATGAATATTGTCATTTTATAATGAAAATATTGTACAGGGATAAAAAAGTAAAATCTGAGAAAAACCTTGAGCTCTCTTTTAGACGACCATCCAACAATTACACTTGGCTGCAGCTACTATTGAAGTGAATATTTTTGTGTTGCCAGTGGCAATTTGTGGGTAGGTACTTCAATCACAAACTACACATTAACATGCAATTACCATACTGAATACATCTTATTTATTTATTCACACACAGTTATATCACGCAGCTATAAGGCTGGGTTGTTGGTGCGGTAACAAGGTATTACGCTATACCAGGATATTTAGAAATCCTGAAGGTATGAATTCAAACACTGTCAAATATACAGACGCTCCAACATATTGGCTCTTACACTGTTTATTTGCTGTGCACTCAGTTAGGATTTGAGTGGGTATGTTTGCTCAAAAGATGCCGTGTTTTGCCTCCTAAAATTTGTGGTACTTGACATTGCTGCTGTTAATACTCACCACGGTCTCCCTCTGAGAAGAACGATCGTGCAAGAGGCTGTCCATTCTGGATTAAAAGCTCTCTTTTCGCTGTCTACATTTCCCCTTATAGAACGTGCCATGTGAAAGTACTTTTCTGACTTGCTTAATTCTCCGACTGTCTCATCTCGTCTCCCCTGTGCCACACAGGCTGTGTGTATCTCACTCACTGAGTCGACTCGCAATGCACAGGTTTGACTGGCTGAGCAGCGGCAGTGAGATGATTCTGGGTCGCTAAACCAGTGCTGTAAAGGCTAGAAAGCTGTTAAAACAGAAACGCTCCAGTATGTTACAATGACTTTGGTCACCAGCAGCTCAGATTTTACGCTTTTTAAAATACAAATGCCGCCATATACTGTATACCTCAGTGAAATGTCAGGAGGTATGACGGTATTCAAATATTTACAATTTACAGTTAATGTTAGGTAATGTCGTAGAGTGTGGGGAAATTAAAAATTAGAAATCACATATGCCTCAATTAAAAAACGGTAAAATGTAATAATGTAATTAATAAGCTCATCGGTACATGTATGCAGTGTCCAGTAGGGCTGGGTACCGAACTCTGTACTTTTAAGGGTACGGTCCAAATTATGTGGGTACTACAAAGGAACGATTCACGTAAATGCATTAATGCCACATTTCGGTACTTGGGAGCGCATATGTATGAGAGAATAAGGGAGAGAATAGAGATAAAGAAAGAGAGCACCTGCAGCTTGTTCAAGTCCCAGTGAGTCACAGCATGCAGGCTTTGTAGCACAAAGTGAAAGCTGGCCAGGGCAACACTTCCAGCCGGAGGAAGCACCTGGTCCAACGCAAAATCTACAGGCTGAAGAGTGCAACATCACCATGTTTGATGCCTGAAAAGCCAATTAAGTCCTCTGCAGCAGTCGCAGCTAATGTCAGCTGAGCCCTCCGGGTATGATGAAACTTAAAGTCCGACGTCAACTACTCCATTGGATAAGTTGCTGCTGGAGAGAACGGTCTTGGTTGACAGACAGACCAGAGCGTCTCTCCCTCTCCTCGCGCACCACGCGCAGGCAGGAGTGAGCGGGTTACTATGGTAACGGGGAAGCTCTGCGCTTCAGTCGCTCTCCGACACTTCGTCATGATTACCAATAAGAGGTTACTGGTTGGTTAATATGCCAGTGAAACAGTCACGAATGCGATTGGGAAGATACCCTGGTAAGAGTTGCTCTCCTGATCGAGGCTGTGGTGTGTGGAGGTCGGCAAGAGTGGCATGATTATTATTGATTATTACTGATTATTAATGGTTATTAGTGATTATTAATGATTATTATGTAGCGTTATGTGACATGTCCGAAACAAATCGTATATGAACAGCATACTGTTTACAGGGAAATATTACAATATACAAGCTTTGAGGTAATAAGGACTTTTAACTTATTTTTTACAACTTAAATTACATTTTTGTTATTATAGAGAGCATAGTGTCTAGATAAACTGACAAACAGAAGTTTCTTTCAAACGAGACATTGGCAGATACCTTACATGGTGTAAGGAGACACAAGGGAATAACAATGACTTTCTAAAATGAATGCCAGCATTTTACTTTAGAAACTGAGGCTGAAAAGTGTGGAAAGACCAACATTTGCAATCAGCGAGCTCAACATTTCCATTAATAAGGCCTCAGTAGACCAAATGGTCCATTCTGACACACTTAAATGTTAAGAAGACACATTATTTTCTGCAGACTCACATGTTTGTTGCTGTGCAGCTGTGGTCTAATCCAATTGTGTGATCATATCTCAGTTGGTGAGGCGGCGATTTCCTGAGGTAACACTTTAGTCAGTGACACGCTGTGGGGGCAAGGAAACCACAACACACAGAGAGAAGGCAGAGTGTCACACCTGAGAGAGAGAGACACACGAAGACGCAAGAATTAAAACTCAGGTCAACATGTCACACGTTTGGCTGTTTCCAACGAACGTTAAAATACACTGCCAGGTACATGTTTGTCCATGTTGTGTTGTCCATAAAAGAACCAGTGGTATTTATGCAGAAACAAGCGCTGCATTCCCTCATAACATGTTGGAAATGTGACGTCAGCTGCACCTGATTTTCTAACCACTTCATTCGAGGCAGCATCTTTTTTTTTTTTATTCCTCCTAGGCAATATTTCAATGGGTTCACAGTCAATCCAGAAATGTTCTGTCCAGACTTACACGTAACACACTGTACACAGTTCTTGACCTCGCTTTGATGCCTTGATAAAAAAGGTTTCTGAGCTGTCAAAAAGCCTTCACTTTACTTCCTCTGATGTGTCAAACCCCTGCAGCGCAGTCGTACATCAGCTGCTCTGCAAGCCAGCCCTCACGAATGTGTCTCCTGATTCTGCAGACAATCCAACGTAAGGACAAACAGGACACACATTATAGTCCATTTATAGAGAATGTATTGGTATGTTCTGTATTCCCCAGGGAATTAGACAGTACAACGAGCTATTTGTAAGTAGAACATTATTCCTCTATCGTTTTTATGTGGCGCCTTTCATCGTGTGCGTGTGGAGAATGTGCTGCTATTTTACAGGTTTGTGCTACAGCTTCGGCTGTGATTTACATTTCAGTGACTTTAGACAAACTAGAAAAGAACGTGAGCGCTGCAATCCCTCTTCTCTTATTGACGAACACACTGAACCCTGACCTTGAAAGTTTCTAGATGGCATTCGATAGGGTACGTCCCAGAGCTCAAAGGTCCCTATCTGTCCATGCTCAAACAGAGACAACAGCTTATCTTTTGGGAGCTGACATGTCTGTTCCTTTACGGTCCCTTGATCTCTTCCAACATACACCCAAAATCTTCATTTCAAAGGATGGATTAATGCATCCAAGCATCTGTTTGCTAAATAAATGAATACAATACTTGCAAATGTTGAAAGAGAAATGTCCTTCTCTTGCTACAGGTCCATTTTTCAAGCTTTTCAACAGCCGCAGGTTTGGGGGTCTCTCTCCCTCCAAAACGAAACCAAAACAAACACTGCCGCACCAGAAAACTCCAATGTTGCATTTAGAAGTGGACTGTGCGTGGGAACAAATGTCCTAGTATACTATGTACACAATTATGAGATATTATATGTATATGTATGTATGTATATAAGCTCACAATCTACATTATCATCAATGTATATTAATATAAATTCTAACTCATCAGCAGCCTGTGGTTGAAGCTTTAGGCTTTTAAAAAAATAATAATCCAACTATATTCTGAGAATCCACTCCGACCGTGACACTGCAACAGCATTCACGTTGTGTTGTGTACATAATGCAAAAACAATGTCGTAGCAGAACAAACACAAACACCACACGTCAAGACAGGGAAGCGAATAAAACGCAACAGGACACCTAAATTAAATTATTCTACACAATTTATCAGCCATTTTGCTCCCATTTCGTATCACGTAGCTAAGGTTCTTCAACACCAGCAAGGTAACATTACCAGAAGCAGACGACGCTCAGTGTTACAAAAGAAACAACGTTACTCGTCGCCAAACAACGAGCAAAAACACAACAATTTAGAAGAAAAACTACTTTTTTTTTTGTGGGTTTTCTTTCTTGCACCTTTTCTAACCTTCCGTGTCCACTGAGAGCACGGTGACAGCTCCGCACGCAAACGTCCCTCTACGTGAATACAACTTGCACCGGATTCATATTCTCCAAAATGACGTACGTCGCACTTCCAACACGAGCTGCTGCGCCATCGCGCGCAAACTACGCCGCCGAGAGCACGTAAGTTGCGTCACGAATACGGCCTGCGGGGCTACAAACAAACAGCCTAGCAGCTAACTGGGCTAGCGTGATACCGACCTGCAGCTAACGTGCACCTTGACAGCGCGGGAGTGTCAGACGTCAGGAAAACGACCCCGGCGCGAGTACGGAGGGGAGAAACCCGTGCGACGCGGAATGGGCGCGGTAACGCAAATCCGCGCTAACTTTACCGGGCGGAATAAATGATCTATCTCGTGTACCCGAACCGGTGCAAGGCCTGCGGAGACAGCTCATGCTTCGCTTGCCCCGAAACGCACACTGACAGCGCGCGAAAAACGCCCCCGACGCCCGCTGTGAACGTTTCCCCGTGTCCCCGGCGCTGTACGCTTTCGTTTGATGTGCCAGTGTCACCCACGCAGAAGCGATAAAACGCTATTTTTTTACCTTCTTCAGTCGGGTGTCAAGCGCTCGCAGACCTTCCTCGCCCCAAATCCAGAACAAACAGTCCCGTTCGACGTCGTGACGTCAGACGCACGGTGGGGGCGGGCCGAAGTCTGTCAGCCGAAGTGACACACACACACACACACACACACACACACACACACACACAGCTCCACC